GGGGGGGGGGGGTAGGGGGGTGGGGGGGGGCCAGGTGCTGGCTCTAGCTGGGAGCTTCTGTCTGGAGCCGCCTGGGGGAGCAGCCCAACAGCCCCCTGAGGGTTTTGAGCTGTGACCTGAGGCCGGGCTGCAGGAAGCGGGGCAGAGGCTGTTCGGGCCAGGAGACCGTGGTGCAGTGTGGACGCCCAGATCCACCCACCGGACCCCCAATCTAGATAATACTCCTGTCATGAGCGCGGGGGCCCGGTCTAGGGTGAAAGTGTAACTGTGTACGCGCATAACTGATGAGCCTGGGCTAACCCCTTCATGGTTACAGAAGCTTCAGGGGGGAGCCGAGTAAGTCTGTACAGGATAAACTTAAAAAACAAACACTGGTCTGGTGGCACTTTATAGACTAACAAAACATGTAGATGGTATCATGAGCTTTCGAGGGTACAGCCCACTTCTTCAGATGACGGGAGTTTTGAGTTTAGGGTGTACACACCCAAAATAAATAGGGGAAGGGGAAGGGTGGGAAACAAGGAGCAGAGGTTATGAAAATATCATAGGGAAAAACAGGAAGGCAGATCAGTAAGCACCTGGTTATGTGGATGCTTCCGTTACGGGACTCCCTGCGTGCTTCCCAGCCAGTGGGAGCTGTGAGATTGTGCTGGAGGCAGGGAAGTGCACAAAGTCCTGCGCCTTCCTTAGGGTTTGCAGTGCACAGGATATGGCCCCCGCAGCTGACAGCTTTGAGAGACAGGAAGCCTACCCAAGACTACTTTGGGGTGCAAGACTGAGGTGGTGGCAGGCCAGATCTGACAATTTTACAGGCCAGATCCAGCACATGAACCTAATTTTGTCTCTCTGGTCGTGATAATACTTAGTTGAGGCTTGAGCGCAAGGACCTGGATTAGAGATGTGAACGTTTAACTGTGCACACAGGGAACCGATGAGCTTGGGATCATTGGTTAACCTCCACAGTTACAGGCAGGCATCCAGGCATAAGTTGTTGGGAACCATTTGGAAAGGGTTAGACATGGAAACAGAAATCGGTTAACTGATGTTTAATGAAACAGACCCAGGCAAATAACACAGTTCCAAGCCAGCTGCACGGGGTGTATCTCTAGCTGTGTTTGGGGTCATACGGCATTAACAGGAGCTTTGGAGCAGAGCCCAAAGCAACCCCACAAGACAGGCTGGGCCACGAGACTAGGCAGTGCTGGAAGTACATTGCTGCAGCTGCGGCTCCAGGAAACCGGCCAAGACAGGCCACTGAATAGCCCTCCCCTGCAGAGGTAGGGAATTCGCTGCTGTTCCTCTTGCCACTCCAGTCTCTCTGCCAATGGGACCTGCAGTAGGTGGCCCAGTGGTCCTGGGGAGACTCTCATGTCATTCCCTGCGGCGTGTCCCTGGGTGCTTGGTAGGGAACAGGTCAGGGCTGTGGCTGGGCTTACACTATTACTTAATTAAATACTTTTAAAAATCTCTAGCCTGGAGTGTCTCCTACTGGCAAAGAGGGCTATGTGGCAGCTCTTACTATGGTGCAGCTCTGCTGCTGTAAGTTCTGAAGTGTAGAATTATCCTGCCTAGTTCCCTGAAACTGAGTGAAGCAACAGGCCAAAAGGGCATACGTTATTGGGAACCATTCGGAAAGGGTTAGACCAGGAAACAGAAAGTGGTCAAGTGATGTTTAATGAAACAGATCCCAGCAAATAACACAGTTGCAAGGCAGCTGTACGTGCTGTATCTCTAGCTGTGTCTGGGGTGATACGGCATTATCAGGAGCTTTGGAGCAGGGCCTAAACTGACCCTGCAAGACAGACTGGGACAACAAGATTAGGTGATGCTAGAAGTGCATTGCTGCAGCTGTGGCTCTGGGCAGTGGACCAGGACAGGCCACTGAGTAGCCCTCCCCTGCAGAGATAGGGAGATAGCTGCTGTTGCTCTTGCTGCTCTGGTCTCTGTGCAGATGGGACCGGCACAAGCTTCCCCAGAGGGACCAGGACCATGTCCTGGGGAGTCTCTCGGGTCATTCCCTGCAGCATGTCCCTGGGTGCTTGGTAGGGAACAGGTCAGGGCTGTGGCTGGGCTTACACTATTACTTAATTAAATACTTTTTAAAATCTCAGGCTGCTCCACAGATTCGAGGCTCAGTTTTTCTGTCACACACTGCTGCCCACTCCATGTGGTGCTGGGAGCTGGGGCTGACCCATGGCTGCTCCCCATTGGGTATTTGCAGGTGGCCAAGGAGAGCCTTTCCCCGGCTCTGGGCATCCCCAGGCTCTGCCCATCCCAGCTCCAGAGTGGCAGCCTGCGGGTGAGGGCGAAGGGTTGGACTGGGCAAGGGCAGTCCCCTGCAAACTGGGCAGCTTAGCCCATGGGTTGCTTCTCCTGCTTCCTCTGCCTCAGATGACACACCACTCCCGGCTGCTCTGGGCAAATCAAGGGTGTGCAGGGGCCAAACGATCACACAGGTGGGTCACATGTGCCTTGCTGAACCTGCTCCTCTTGCACCCACTTCCCGCTTGAGGACTGGGGGCAAATTATGAGGAGGCTGTTTCTGTGGAGGAGCCTAACTGACCATACAGGCAGTGAGTGGGGGAGACACAGAGCTGGCGGCAGGACCAGGAGACGTGCCAAAGGGCAAAACTAGAGCAGGCAGCTGGGTATACCTGCAAATGAGCCTGCCAGCCATTGGCAGAGGGAAAAATTGGGGATAGTGAGGGGCAGAGAGGATGGAAGCATTGAGGGAGGAAAGGTTGGGAACCCTCTGCAGAGCTTGCAAATATGAAGTGTAGGGCAGACATAGCAGGTATCTCAGCGCCTGCTTCCTAGACCTGTAATCTGAAAGGCACTTTGTTCCCCAGGGACTACACAATGCAGCTCTTCCCTGCTTCATAAGGTGGATTCACCTGCTAAACAGGACTGGATTCAGTGAATTATTTTATATACAGCCTCTTTCAAACACTGCCATGGCCAGACTTGGTTTTAGGATCTAAAAGAATCCCTGATCCTCTTCTGTGTCTGCATAAAGACATTTGCAAATGTGTTCCACCTGAGTTGTAGAAGGATGGTGTCCAATGAACAGTCAGCAGTCCCTGCTGCTTGAGTCTATTACGTTTCTCCACCACAATCAACAAGTTTAGTCCCTGCTGCTTGAGTCTATTTATTACGTTTCTCCACCACAATCAACAAGTTTATACACGAGGTGCTCCCGCTACGCAACTGGGTACACCTTACAACAGGCAGTCTTGGATCGCTGCCGATACCTGAACTCGGACGGCAAGTTAGGGGGACCCGGGCCCGCCCACTCTTCCGAGTCCCGGCCCAGGGCCCTAAGGCAGGGAAACTTGCTCCTTGTACTAGTGGATGGGGTTGTTACCCCTAAAAGCACCCACTTACGGGCTTCACGACCCTGGACCACTCCCTATCTCTACTGTCTGTGCCTGTCTTCCCCTTCCGTAAGGACAAGACTCTCCTCCATCTGGCACGAAAGGAGCTCTAACTTCCCCCTTCCGGCACGTTTTCCCTCCACCCGGTCCCCTCCCGCTTTTATATCCCCCATTTGTCTGTCCCCCATCCCGCTTAGCCTGTCTCCGCCTGCCCCACTGGTGCATGTTACGGCCGATGATGTCCATACTCTGCGTCCGGCTCGCCGGCGTGTCCAGCAGCATCTGTGCGTGCGCCGGCATCTCGGCTCCATCTGTTTCCTTGGCCGGGGATTGTATGCCGGTCCCCGTTGCCTCCTGATCACTGTCCCTGCCGGTTTGGCCCCCCTTCTCAAGCTGCTCGTGCCTGGGGTTCGTGTGGGGTTGCTGCACCCCGTCACAGATGTGGATATAAAATCCATTATTGAATGTCCAGGGAGATTAGAATATTCCCTGATGGATTTGTGTGCGTTGAGCCTTGGTCATTCAATAATGGACATAAAATAATGAACAGCCACCCTTCCGCAAAAAAGTTGTATCACCGGATTCCAGAAGGAGACAGCTGAATTGGAGTTAGTTTACAAACTCAATATTATATTATTGACTCACATGTGAAATTAAACATTGTTATTAATAGCAGGAGAGCTCTGATACAGTACGTCTAGACAAGGGGCTATTTTGAATCCCGAAATAGCTACCCCACATCTTTTAAACGCACCCGTTATTTCAAAATATTTCCCCTTCCCAGAGCTGAGCGCCACCAGGAACAGCCTGAAGTTTTAAGCAGTCTGGGACTACAGCTAGCAGGGAGCCCAGCCTGCCTTGCGGGTGCTGCGGGGCTGCTGGCCAGGCCATGCTTAAGTAAGCACCTTCCAGCCAGAGACTGCCTCTGGCACACCAAGCCTAACTGCACCTTAACTTTCTCCCCCAGGTCACCATCCAAACCCTCTACATCCCCTGTCCCAAGTCACAACTCCCTCCCACATCCTGTACCCCACCTATACTCTTTCTCATGGCCCCAATCCTCTCCTGCACCCATACCTCCTCCCTGACCCTGTACCTATATCCCTTGACCCTGGTCACAGCCCCCTCCTTCAGCCAAATTCCCTCTCAGACCACACACCCTCTCCTGAACTCCTGTGCCTTACCCTGTGTGTCCTTCTGCACCCAATCTCCATCCTAGACCTCCTACCCCCTCCACAGAAAAGTCTGGCCCTTGACCTCTTTGAAAAATCTTGGAGTGGCCCCCACCAAAAATTATTGCCTGCCCCATATGTAATATCTGGACTCAAGAATTTGGCCAAAATGGCAGAATTTAGCATGTGTGTCAACAGGACAGAGTCTGGGGAGAATGGGTTATGGAAAGAATTAAACTTCCTTCTGAAATGTCTCTAATTGCCCTTCTCCCCCCAACAGGCTGCAGAACCCCCATGTCTTGCTCCAGCTTAGCCCATGGCCTGCAGAACCAAGGACAGGAAATGGCTGTGGCGGAGCTGGTGAGCTTCGAGGAGGTGGCTGTGTATTTCTCTGAGGAGGAATGGGCTCTGCTGGACCCGGGTCAGAGAGCCCTCTACTGGGATGTGATGCAGGACAATTATGAGGCTGTGAGCTGGCTGGGTAAGGATTTCTGTCCCGTGAGTATCAGAAGCTAGGTGGGATCTGGAGCAGCTGGGTTGGGTTTGGTTCAGAGTCCCTCATTGCCACACCCTGCTCCCCAGAGCTCCCAGTGTTAGGAGTATCTGCCCCAGTAATCTGGCTCCTGTGTGAGAGACTGTCCCCTCCCCATAGCCTCCCAGAGGAAGCAGGTTCAGGATATAACAATGGTGCTGCTCTTCCACAGCCAAGGTCTCAGTGTGCTTCCCCACCATCTTGCCTATATTTGTGCCAGCAGGATACCTCTTTTGCCAGTGTGCGGAGCCCCTTGAAAGAGAGTGCAGTTTCCGGAGTTCTTCCTTCCCTGTGGCTTATTTCTATCACATGCTGGTTCCTGGCAGTGAAAGAGGCTGGATGCTGTGGCTCAGGGATAGCGGATGAGGCAGTTCATGTTCATGTTCTGTGAGCTTTCTGTGGGGCTAAATGTGAGGAGAGCTTTTCTTACATTGCAGGCAGTGCACTTGATTTTAGGAGACTTACGTTCAGATACCTGCCCCGCACAGATTTTTTGTGTGACCTTGTTCAAGTTACTCGTGCTCTCTGTGCCCGACACCCATATTTTTTCAATAGCTAGTATTGTATGTCCATGCTTCACAGGGCGGATGATGGATACGTATATTAAATAGGGGAGATCCTCAGCTCCATATAAGTGCCTCAATAGCACTGTGGGTTCCTAATTTACACCAGAGATCGCAGATGCCACTGTAACTGATAATCTTTGCTTCCTGTAGTGGCTGCAGTACTCTATGAATTGCTGCTAGTGCCACAAAGCATCATTATGGCTGCTCAGCATGGCTCTTTCTGGAGCTCTGATGCCATCTACATTGGCAGAGTGTGTGGCTTGCCCATGCAGCACAGCTCAGGGTCACTGCTCAGGAAAGACACAGGTTCCATTCTTCAGGTGTATAGTGGCTAGTCTGAGAGCCATTGTTCATTGAGTCGTGCTAATTAGAACAGCTATTCATTGAACTCAATGTGCAGAAGCAGTCAAAAAAGCAAACAGAATATGAGCAATCATTAAAAAGGGGATAGAGAAAAAGACGGAGAATAGCGTATTGCCTCTGAATAAATGCATGGTATGACCACATCTTGAATACTGCATACAGACATGTTTGTCTCATCTCAAAAAAAGATATATTAGCATTGGAAAAGATTCAGAAAAGGGCAACACAAATTATTAGGGACAAGTATGGGGAGTTATTGAATGAAATGAACAGGTAGAGGTTTTAAACAAAAGGAAGTTTTTCTTCACACAGAGCACAGTCAACCTGTGGAACTTCTTGCCAGAGGATAGTGTCAAAACCAGGACTTGAGCAAGGTTCAAAAAAGAACTAGATATATCCATGGAGGTTAGGTCGATCAATATTTATTAGCAAGGATAGGTAGAAAGGGTGTCCCTAGCCTCTGTTTGTCAGACATTAGAAATGGGTGACAGGAGAGGGATCAATCAGTTGATGATTACCTGTTCTATTCATTCCCTCTGGGTCATCTGGTATTGGCCACTGTGGGTAGACAGGACACTGAGCTAGATGAATCTTTGGTCTGACCTAGTCTGGCCATTCTTATGTTATGTCACATACAACCTGTGGAGAGGTATTTTCTCCTATCATGTTGCTTTCAATTATCCAGTGTTGCTTTGTCAGGATTGAATGTTGGTTACTGGACTCTAAACAGCAGGTTAGTTATAACATGTGCCTCAAGATGCATTCTTACTGACGCACGTCACAGAACACACCTCTACTATGTCCTTGTCCTAACAGTGATATCTGGCCACTGTTACCAGAGTAAAGCCAGCATTTCGGTCAGGTTGCTGGCATTCTGGACAAAGGGGGAGGAGATGAGGCTACATGGGAGAAAGGGTGCTGTGGAAACTCCACTGTCTGATTTAATGCATCAGAGTGAAGTCAGTCCAAGCTCATCTTCCTTTTTTTTTGGTTGAGGAAACACCTCCAAGGCGAGGTGAGGAGCTGGTGTTAATTACCACCTGATTGTTGGTGTAATTCCTGGCATATTTCAGACTTTGTGACTGTGATGTGGAAGGAGGAATGTGGCGCCCCCAGTATTTTCCCACTGTTAGAATTATACAACAAACAGGAATTCTCAGCAATTCTAGGCCAACAGGTCTGTCATTTTCTATCAGCAGGGACAGAGGAAGCACTTGTGTTTGGCCAAGGTACTTTTCAGTTGACACCTGGTGGACATCTTCCAGGAAATGCTCAAAAGTCTGGGCTAAGATGTAGTTTGATTGGAGGCACGCAGATCCAGAGCAGAGAGGTGTAGAGGGATGAGGGGATTCTGCATTAGCAGAATTTAATGTAGAATCTGACTCTTATTTTAATGTTTGTGTTAATAATCTGTGCTCTTCCTCACGTTCTGAGGAGGTTATTGAGTTCTTTTAGAGAGTGCAGATGAGGCTGCAGTGAGGCCTTAAGTGCAGGATCAGGCTCTAAACAGCCAGCAAGTCAACAAACTGAACAAACACTTGGATCTTTGCTGCAGTTAGCTTCTGGGTGTGGAAACCATTTCATATTTAGCTAGAAGCCATTTTGTATAACAGAAGCCATTTAAGTCTCCTGCTTCTGCACGTATACTAGAGAGTGAACTCTCCTTCACCCCATGTAAGAAAGGCCAGAAGGATGAGCTATTGGAATGTGTTAATTGAGCTGTTTTGAGAGGGAGCTCTCACTCCCTGTTACCTGTTCCTTCTTGCTGATAACAGTTTTTCTCTTCTAAGTTTAATTGATGATTTCTGTAATTGGATGCCCTGATGTCAGACTTGTTTGGTTAAGGGTATAAATATACTAGGATTGATTTGTATTAGCATCCTTAGTGGGCCCGGCACTGCTGGGGTCATGTTTGGCTCACTTTGTGCCTTATTGATCAATAAAGCTTTTTGTTAGCCGCCTAAACACAGAGAAGTCTTTTGCTTCGACATGGGTGACACTCAACAATGCCAGGTGAACAGAAATAGCTCTGTGGTGGTGTTGTGACTGCTGTTTCTTTCAGAATTTGCTTTCATGCTGGTTACTCTCTCTTAGGTTTTGTCTTCACATATAAGTTTAGTGTAGTGCCGCAGGAGCACTGTACCACAGCAGTGTGGGCATGACAAGAGTGCTGGGAGAAAGCTCTCCCAGGGCTGTACACAAACCACCTTCAGAAGAGGAGTAGCTCACAGCACTGGGAGAACATTTACACTGATGTTTCACAGCTCTGTGACTCGCTGTGCACACAGAGTCCATGCTGAGTAGTGATGCTGAGCACCAATTCATCAGGGCCTGGAGGTCCCATTTCTCCAGCAGCAGGTGTGCACAGCCACCTCTGTAACAGGAGGAGCTGCACTGGCTCTGCCCAGATCATGGCGAGGCCTGGGTCAAGGAAATCTCAGAACATGGGAAGAGCTGCATGCTCAGCCATCTGTGCCTGCAGATTGGTTTCTGGGTGTCTGGCTCGTGAGTCTTGCCCACGTGCTCAGGGTTCAGCTGATCTCCATATTTGGGGTCGGGAAGGAATTTTCCTCCAGGGTAGACTGGCAGAGGCCCTGGCGGTTTTTCGCCTTCCTCTGTAGCATGGGGCACGGATCACTAGTGGGAGGATTCTCTGCAACTTGGGGTCTTTGAACCATCGTTTCAAGGACTTCAATATCTGAGATATAGGTGAGAGGATTATTCTAGCAGTGGGTGGGTGAGATTCTGTGGCCTGCATTGTGCAGGTCAGACTAGATGACCAAAATGGTCCCTTCTGACCTTAAAGTCTATGAGTTAGTGGGCATCACACAGAGCCCTTCTGAGAGCTTGGCCAGAGTGGGAGGAAGCTCTAGCTGGGCTCAGGCAACCGTGATGACCACCTGGCCTCCATCCCACAGGGCCTTTCAGAGATGGGTGAATGTGGAGAGAAAAGGCGGGTGTAGAAAATTCTTGCCCTTTATCTTGTCTGCTCTAGGGCCATAAGAGCGGCAGTGTCCTCTGCTAGGAAAAAGGTGACACTTCTCTTCCTCTTCTCCACAGCAAACAAGAAACAAGAGCCACAACACATCCCCTGAAGTGGTTCGATCCATCACTAGAAAAAAGCAACATGAACTCAGTCCAGGACCCAAAGTGCTTCCCATTTCTCCCAGCACTCACTGAGAAGGCAGACACAATCAGAATTGGGAGCCATGTGTCTTTCAACCTCTATGGCTTGATTAGGCAAGGGGACACCCAGGCCATAGCCACGTACACTCAGCTGTTGTTGCTGCTAGGCTTGAAAGCTGGCCTTCGAGCGTCCTTGGCCAGCCAAGCAAGGCAGAGCATCTGACAGCTTGGTCAACTAGTGAGGGGGCAGAAGTGCTGAGAGGGTGCAGCTGCAGGGCCCTATTGCTGTCCCTGGTCCCCTGGAGTAGTCTCAGCAGGACAGTCTGACACATGCCTTCCCTGATCATCCCCATCTCTGAGCCGAGGGAAAGATGTGCCTCTACTCTGGCCAGGATGCCACAAAGCCAACATCTTCCTACAGGGTATTCTTACAATGCCAGCAACCTGACCTGAGCTGCTCAGCTAGGAGGGGGTGTCAGTGTTAGGGATCCATGAAATCTTAGTGGTCACATGACTGTTCCATTGTCCCTGAGGGCAGCGTTGGCAGCCAGTTCCCTCCTGACCCAACTCCTGGAGAGCCCCCTGCCACCTCATGCTGCTGACTCTCCATCAGAGTTTAAATACCAGTTCCACATGCAGACCAGCTGCCTGCCATCTCTCGCTGCTGCCTTGGATACAAAGGCAGCAGCCCCTGTCTGTGTGGGGCTCCCTGTGGACAGAGGTTGCTGTGTGGGATGCATAGCAACCTCTGTTTGCAGGGAGCTTCAGCCTGCCTCATAGAGTGGCTGCTTCGTGGTAGCCTCCTCTGGTCCCCTCTTACAAGAGGCAGCAAGAGGGAGGGTGAGAATGTGAATAGTCAACAAGGCTTATTGGTTAATCATGTAGTTGACCACGTGTTGATATCCCCTAACTCAGACAACTTCCTCTGCCTCCTTCTGGTTCAAGTAGAGCCTCTGAGCCAAACAGCAGGGGAACCAAGCGCCCCAGCCAGAAGCTTTGTGCACAGAGCCCTTGGGGACCTAGAGCTCTGCTGGGTCTTTTCTCTCCAAGTCCTAGTGACCTGCCAGGTAGCACCTGCAGTCTGAGCCCTGTCTGCGGGCCTCAGTGGGAGCCAAGCGCCCCAGCCAGAAGCTTTGTGCACAGAGCCCTTGGGGACCTAGAGCTCTGCTGGGTCTTTTCTCTCCAAGTCCTAGTGACCTGCCAGGTAGCACCTGCAGTCTGAGCCCTGTCTGCGGGCCTCAGTGTCAGATATGGAAGCCCTCACTAGAGCTCACCTGAACAGTGTGTGCCTGGCCTGGCCTGGAATGGGGAGATGGAACAAGCCGTGAAGGAGACTTAGTTATACCCTAGTGTGTGCAGCAGGTGTTCAGTTCCCCCAGGGAATTGGCTGCGTCTCAATCTGGGGGAATGCACCTTTATTGCGGGAGAGTCTGTCCTGGTATCTTGTAGCATCGGCAGAAGCCTCTCTGGGTGGGTGACTCAGATCCTCGCTCTGGAAGCAATAATGGCACAGACCTTAATGAACAAGATCAGCACTTGATTAATTGCTCCCTGAGTAGGATTGCCAGTGTCCGAAGCTCATGTGAACTCCTGGAAGGAGAGAGGGGAGAAGCTGCAGATCCCAGATCTCCAGGGCTGTGAGGAAGGGGAGATCATCAGTGACACTCACACAGGTGAGCAATCAGCTAAACTGACTCAGAAACTAATTTCTGTCCCCTCATAGCAGGTGTCACTTGTGCAGTTTCATCAAGTCTACCTGCCCCTTCAGCCTGTCCTCAACCTTAGTCAGAGGGAGGGAGTGAAGGTTGGATTCTTCCCTCCGGAGAAGGGTTGTGATGAAGGAGGATGAACTCAGCTCATGATTAGTGAACCTTTCCAGCCATTCTTTGGATGTGCTCCTTCTTTTCTGTTATAGAATCATATAATCATAGAATACTAGGAATGGAAGGGACCTCGAGAGGTCATCGAATCCAGTCCTTTGCCCTCATGGCAGGACCAAATACTGTCTAGACCAGTGGTCCCCAACCTTTTGGGGCTGCCGGGTGCCTGGGGGCAGGGCCGCTCACTTTTGCGCGTATGGGGGTGGGGCCACCCACAGGCCACGTGACTGGGGGCGGGGCCAAGTATGCGCCGCACGCCTGAGGCCGGCAGCGGCATGTGCAGGGGCTGCCCAGGTGCCGCGCACCCGGGGGCGGGGCCAGGGCCAGCGCCAGGGCTGGCAAGGGCACGCGCGGCACACCCAGAGGCGGGGACAGGGACAGGGCCGGCAAGGGCACGCGCAGCGCACCCGGGGCCGGCCATGCGCCCGGGGCTGGCACCCGCCGCACACCCCGAGGGCCGGCAAGGGCATGCGCGGTGCTCCCGGGGGCGGGGCCGGCCATGCGCCTGGGGCTGGCACCTGCCAGCCCAGATTGCTCCGCGGGCGCATGTAAAGAGCCCGGCGGGCGCCATGGCGCCCGCGGGCACCAGGTTGGGGACCACGGGTCTACACCATCCCTGATAGACATTTATTTCACCTACTCTTAAATATCTCCAGAGATTCCACAACCTCCCTGGGCAATTTATTCCAGTGTTTGACCACCCTGACTGTTAGGAACTTTTTCCTAATGTCCACCCTAAACCTCCCTTGCTGCAGTTTAACCCATTGTTTCTTGTCCTATCCTCAGAGGCCAAGATGAATAAGTTTTCTCCCTCCTCCTTATGACACCCTTTTAGATATGTTCCCCTTTCAGAGTTTTCTCTTCTGCTCAGTACAGAGAATGACTCCTGGATTCTCTCTGTGTCCCAGCAGGTGATGGGACGCTGAGTGAGAACAGTGAGAAGAGTCTGCAGCAGCAAGCACTGGAGCGAATGGCTGCACATGGGATGTTATTGGGAAGATCTGAAGGGCATGTTTCCCAGAAACCTGAGCAGGGAGAGACCTGTGAGTCAATCAGAGAGAAACCTGTCAGAGTCTGCATAGCCAAGAAATGCAACAGGGAAACCATCGAGAGAAGGGACAGGGTAAATCCAGTCACAGGACCAGAAGGGTGAAAAGAAACACAGCAACCTTTCAACAGAAAATCCCCCATCAACAGGCATCCTATGCTTATAGTGACTGTGCAACTCCTATTGAGCATCAAAGAATCCACGAAGGAGAGAAGCCCTTCAAATGCTCTGAATGTGGGAAAAGCTTCGGTAAGAGGTCAGACCTTGTTAGACACTGGAGAATTCACACAGGAGAGAAACCTTTCAACTGCTCTGACTGTGGGAAAAGCTTCAGTAAGCGGTCAGTCCTTGTTAGACACAAGAGAATTCACACAGGAGAGAAACCCTTCAGCTGCTCTGACTGTGGGAAAAACTTCAGTGAGAGTTCACACCTTGTTAGACATAGGAGAACTCATGCAGGAGAGAAGCTCTTCAAATGCTCTGACTGTGGGAAAACCTTCAGGGAGAGTCCAAACCTTGTCAGACATAGGCGAACCCACACAGGAGAAAAACCTTACAGCTGCTCAGACTGTGGGAAAAACTTCAGTGAGAGTTCAAGCCTTATTAGACATAGGAGAATTCACACAGGAGAGAAACCTTACAACTGCTTAGCCTGTGGGAAAAACTTCAGTCAGAGCTCAACTCTTGTTAAACATAAGAGGATCCACATGGGGTAAATTGCTTTCACGGTGGAAAAGTTTGAGTTGGGGCTCAAATCTTAACAACCATCACACAATCCACGCAGGAGAATCATAGAATCATGAATCAATTTATAGAACACTAGCACTGAAACAGACCTTGAGAGGTCATCAAGTGCAGTTCTGTGCCCTCACAGTTGTACCAAGCACCATCTATCATCCCTGACAGATGTCTTTCTAACTTGCTCTTAGATATCTGCAATGTTAGAGATTCTGCAACCTCCCTAGGCAATTTATCCTAGGCTGTGTCTACACTGGCCGCTTGAATTTCCTCAAAAGCACTGACGATCTCATGTAAGATTGTCAGTGCTTTTGCGGAAATACTATGCTGCTCCCATTCGGGCAAAAGTCTTTTTCCGAAAAACTTTTGTGCAAAAGGGCCAGTGTAGACAGCAGAGATTTGTTTTCCGCAAAAAAAGCCCCGATCGCGAAAATGACGATCGGGGCTTTTTTGCGGAAAAGCGCGTCTAGATTGGCCACGGACGCTTTTCCGCAAAAAGTGCTTTTGCAGAAAAGCGTCCTGCCAATCTAGACACGCTTTTCCGAAAATGCTTTTAACGGAAAACTTTTCCATTAAAAGCATTTCCGGAAAATCATGCCAGTGTAGACGTAGCCCTAATGTTTAAGCACCCTGACAGAAAGTTGTTCCTTATGTCCAACCTAAGCCTCCCTTGCTGCAATTTAAATCCCTTGCTGCTTCTCCTATCGTCAGAGGTCAAGCAGAAACATTTTTTCCCACTTTCTTGTAGCATCCTTTTAGGTACTTCAAAATTGCTATCATTTCCCCTTTGTCTTCTCTTTTCCAAACTGATTGGCTTCGGGGTAGGGGAGCAGCAGGGCTTCCGTGGGCTGGATCAATCTGCTTGGCAGGCCTGATTTTGCCCGCGCAGGCCCTTTTGCCCACCCCAGTCTGGGGCATGGTGCTGACCTCACCCAAGGTGGCTGCCCCTTCTGTTTCTGCAGGGGCACAGCTAATGCACATTCATCCATGTGTGTAAAACGCACATTCACTGGGCAATGAGATTATAATGCTGACTCAGAGGCACAATTAAACATTATTATTATTACTATTTTAAGAGCTCTGATGCCGATTGTGGGGCTAACCCCAATGTGTTAGCATTCACAGCCTTTATAAGAGCACTCTATGCAGAGAGGTGGCTGGTGAGGAGGGACCCAGTCCCTCAGTGATAACTGTTATCCTTCTGCTCCAGTGCCTGTGCCAGGGTTTTGACACTATCACCCTCTGGCAACTTCCTGGTCAAGAGATGCATAACTTGACTATGTTAGTCACTAATGTCCTTTTTCAAAACACAACAGTTTTATCACCAGCTGCTAAAGGGCACTACGACACCACACCCCTGTCGGTGGATGTGGGGACCGGACCTGTACCTGAGTTTAATAAAAATATGTTGGAAAAAAATTAGTTGGAATCAGAAAAAATGCTATGGACACACCAATGCAAAGTCTAGACCAGGGGTGGGCAATAATATTTGGTGGGGGGGGCCGCACTTTTCTGTGCATGGGTGCAGGGTCTAGGATAGAGGTTGAGCACAGAAGGATGCCTGGGGTAAGCTACTGGGGTGCAGGAGATGGTGTGAGGTCTGAGAGGGAGTTGGGGCAAAGGAGGTGGTTGTCACCTGGGATAGGGGTACAAGGCCAGGGAGGAGGTATGGGTGCAGGAGTGTGTCCTGGCCTGGGAGAGGGGCACTAGGAGGAGGTGCAAAGTCTGGGAGGGAGCTATGACCTGGGAGAAGCGGAAAAGGGGATGTAGACTACAGAGGATGTAGGTGGTGACTTGGAGCAAGAGCTCTTCCAGAAGAGGCCAGTGTAGACAGACAACATTAATTTCTTGCGCAATAAAGCCCTATGGTTAAAATGGCCATCAGAGCTTTCTTGCGCAAGAGAGCGTCTACACTGGCATGGATGCTCTTGTGCAAAAGCACAAGCCAGTGTAGACGCTCCCTTCTGGAAGAGTTTTTGCAGAACTCTTCTGCAAAAGAGTTTTTGCATGAGAATGTGCCAGTGTAGACGTAGCCTTAATCTATAACGTGCCACAGGATTTTTCGTTGTTTATGCAGATCCAGGCTACCCCTCTGATAAAAGCTACAGTCACGGTGTAACACGTACTGCAGCCTGTTCTGCTTTATACTGCAGAGCTTGCAGGGCATTTGGCTGCCCTGGAGCAGGGTTAAGAGCTGTAAACTGGTGCACACTGGGGGGCTACATAATAAGTGTGTGCCGACTCCTGTAACTGTGGGCTCCTCTCCTCATGCTGGGGGCAATGTGGGCTCAGCAGCCTGACCTTTATACTACAGAGCATGCAGCACAGGATCCGGCCCACGAAACTCCGGATCCCCTGCAGCAGGATGAGACATGCTGGTGTTCCAGCCACGCACGGTAAAGGAGGCAACAAACCTTGGAGCCCCTTCCCCAGATGGCTGGAGCACCAATGCTGAGTTGCCCTGTTGCAGGAGGGAGTCCACAACATCCCAGCCTGCGGGTCGTACACTCTCCATCCCTGCCTTACAGGGATCTCATAATTCAATTAGGCAGCTTCAGTATTTTGGATACTGTAGAGGACTTTTTCCTAGAATTGACCTGATTAATTATTGCTCTGGGTCGTGTGTAGGCAAGGGGTCGTTAGCAGCATAAGGAGTAGGGATTTCCCATCAAACTGCTTCCCTGCTTTCCGTGTCCCAGCCTTCAATATGGTTGTAGTGTTGGACTTTCTGTTCTCCATTCTGTATACGAATGGAGTGATGCACAAGAGGCTAGGGGGATTTAGGTGCGTCTGCTGATCAGCTTTGGTTCAAGCAGAGATTGGGGGGCGGCAGTGCGAAGGTTTTTCATTAGTGTGCGTGCATGGATATTATGCCCTCCAGAATGCGGGGCTATAACAACAAAAATAAAAGGCAGCAAGTGCTGTAAGGGAATCACAGAAAATTGCCATTGACTTAAGTGGTTTTGAGCATTAGCTATTAAAACAAACGCAAATAGTACAGTGACAGGCAGTGAAGTAACAAATAACATTTGCAAAGGAGCAAAGCTGCAATGAAATTGGGCTGCAGTGACGGGAGGGCAATTCAGCGATTCCGGAGCAACAGACAACACAAGTGTGTGAAATGCGATAAGAATTCATGTTCTCTCGTTAGCTCCCTTTTCCCATCGTTAACCCTTTTAAAATTCAGTCAGCAAAAAACGTCTACCTCAGGGCTACTCAACTTTGGAAGCCCCGGGGACCACAATGATTTTCACAGCACAACACGGCTGAGGGATGCAACTTAGAACATAACATAAGAACGGCCGTACTGGGTCAGACCAAAGGTCCTTCTAGCCCAGTATCCTGTCTGCCGACAGTGGCCAGCACCAGGTGCCCCAGAGAGGGAGGACCGAAGACAATGATCAAGCGATTTGTCTTCTGCCATCTCTCTCCAGCCTCTGACAAACAGAGGCCAAGGACACCATTTTATCCCCTGGCTCCATGAAATTATCTAGCTTCTCTTTATACTCTATTATAGTCCTAGCCTTCACAGCCTCCTCTGGCAAGGAGTTCCACCGGGTGACGCTGTGTGAAGAACTTTCGCGTATTAGTTTTAAACCTGCTACCCATTCATTTCATTTGGTGTCCTCTAGTTCTTCTATTTAGGGAGCTAATAAATAACTTTTCTTTATCGGCCCTCTCCACACCACTCATGCTTTTCTAGACCTCTATCCTATCCCCCCTCAGTCTCCTCTTTTCTAAACTGAACTTAAGTGTGGTTGCATGCACATAGCTTCTTTCACACCGACGGGCATGAATGCAAAGGGTAAGGCAAGATTGCAGACGCTGCAGGCCCTCATGGAAGTCAGCGCTGCTGCTATCAATACAATGCAAGATGCACCCCATTGCCACCCCTTTTAATGAGCAATGGCAGCCCAGGAATGTCAGGACTAAAACGCACCGCAGCAGACGACCACTGACTAGTTTTTTGTTTGAGCTCCTACCCGCGTGTTGAGTATCCCTGGACTCTACAGAGAACCCACCGGGAGCAGGGCTG